TAACAAATTAGCTCTGCTACTATTAGTTCTGCTACTATAAAAATAGTAGCAGAACTAATGTAGAGAGGGCCCTGGAGCAAGAAAGTTGTTTGGGCCCCTCAATGCAAGAGTGGCCAAAAGATAGATCCCCTCTGTCGTATAAATCCAATGATGCTATGCAAGCTAGGACCTACCATTTGTCCATCCTTATTTGTATGTACTGTCGCCATTGGAATGCAGTGGTATACTTGTATGCAATGTTTGCGTTTGAATGCAGGGGTGTATGTAGTGCTAGATTTTAAATGCAGGGCTGTGTTTTTATGTAGTGTTGGTGTTTGTATGAAGGAGTGTGTTTGGAAGTAATGTTGTCTTTGAAATGCAGATGTATATTTGTGTATTATTGGTGTTGGAGAAAAGGTGTGTTTGTATATCATTTTGGAGTTTGAAAGAAGGGATGAGTTTGTATGTAATATTTCTGTTGGATTGCAGGAGTGTGTTTGCATGTTGTGTTGCTTGGATGCAGGGCCGGTGCAAAGAATTTTGGGTACATAGGCGAAGATGCATTTTTCCGCCCCCCCAAAAACATCTTCACCCATGTGCCTCTTAACCTCCCTTTTGTGTTTCTTATCCCGTCTTTTAAATATCTGACTCCCTTTAGTGTATTTTATCTCCTATTTTTGCCTTTGTGTGTCTCCTATCTCTCCTCTTTGTATGACTCTTACATCCTCCCACATTTTGTGTCTTACTCCTCCCAGCCCCTTTGTGTGACTCCTTTTCTCCCAGCCCATTTGTGTCTTTTATTCTTCCCAGCTCCTTTGTGTGTGTCTCTTTCCTTCTCAAGCCCCGCTGTGTGTTTCTTTCACATCCGGCCCCTCTCCCCGTCCCTTAATGGTCCCCTCCCTTCTCTGACCCTTACTGTTCCTTTCCCTTCCCGCCTCCTTTCCCTGTCCCTTAGTGTTCCTCTCCCCTCCCCCATCTGTTGGCTGTCGCTTAGTGTTCCTCTCCCCCCCTCCCTCCTTTTCCTGTACCTTAGGGTATCTCTCCCCTCCTCTCCCTGTCCCTTGGTGCGCCACCCACCCCCATAGTGGTCCCCTCCCCTTCCTGGTGTGCCTCCTACCTTTTTTTGTAGCGTGGCTGAGCGGAGCGAATCCCGGTACAGTGAGCTTTTCCTGTAAGTTCTGCCAGGTACAGGAAACAGAAGTTCCTGTACCACGGTACACTCCGCTTGGCCACGCTACAGTCAGGGGTGTATAAACACTGACAGTCACACACACTCAATGACAAACATACAGACATCTCTGACAGCCAGACTCACTTATCTGACACACTCATTCATTGACAGACACTCACACGCACACTGACAGACTCATTGAAAAACACACACTGACACACACACACACAAACTCACAGACACTGACAGACACACTCACTCACACACACACTGACAGACATACTCACTCACACACACACACACACACAAACTCACAGTCACATAGTCACACACACACTGACAGACACACATACTCACACACACTGACAGACACACTCACTCACACACACACTGACAGACATACTCACACACACACACTCACTCACACACACACAAACTCACAGTCACAGTCACACACACACTGACAGACACACTCACTCACACACACACTGACAGACATACTCACTCACACACACACACAAACTCACATAGTCACACACACACTGACAGACTCACATACTCACATGCACACACACACACAGAAATTAAAAATCTTAATTAAATTTAAATTTCCCACCCAGCCTCCCTACCTGGAGAGCTGGCGTGGGTCTCTCATTGGTGGTCCAGTGGGGCTGCTGGGAGGCGTGCGGATGAATTGGATTCCTAGGTGGCGAGGGAGCTCTGATCTCTCTGATCTGCTCCCTCGCAGGCTGCTGACTGATGCCGCGGGAGCCGGAATATGACGTCATCAGTCAGCAGCCTGCGAGGGAGCAGACCAGAGAGATCAGAGCTCCCTCGGCATCCAATTCAGCCGCACGCCGCGCCGGGGATCCAGGAGGTGACCTGGCAGGAGGGAGCACTTCCCTCCTGCCGGTCACTGGAATTTTGCGCCCCCAGAGCCGGTGCGCCCTAAGGCGGCCGCCTGTGCCGCCTTATGGACGCGCCGGCCCTGCTTGGATGTATGCACATATACACATACACTGTTGCACACATACATACATTCACAGATATACAGGCACATTAACACACTGACACACACAGATACACACACTGACACATGCACAAACACATAGATGCACACCCAGACACACACCCTGACATATGCACATAACCTGACACACAGATACACACTGACATATATATGCACAAATTGGTGGTTATTGTGTAAAGTGCGCTTGCAAATGTAATTGAGTGTAGAAAAGCAGCTACACACTCTAGTGGGTGCTCTCTTATCCCCACTAAATATAGTAATGAACCAGAGTGAGTTTAGTACAGTCTGGATATAATCGGAATTGGTGGTTAAAAAGCCCACAGAGCGTCTCGGAGCCAGAGCCAACTACTGGGACACTTATACTTCATATACAAGCAATTGTACACTTTGATTTTATTCTTTTGATTTTATATTTAAAGTTGCAATAAATCCCAATTTTATATTAAGTCCCATCGGCTTTCAACTTTCTCTTGCTGCTAAAGAAGGGCAGGTGTCCCCGTCTACCATCCAGAGCCAGGTTTTTATTGGCTCAGGAAAAGGTGAGCACAACCATAACTACTGTGATTTTCATTTATGCTGAAACATAGTACACTAGGAAGTCTCCTTTATCGTTTTTTTTTCTTGAGGAAACTCATTCCAGCTAAAAGGGTGCAGTGTCCGCATACGACACTACTGTGGAAGCGATTTGGGCCTGTCCCTTTTAGGCTCTAATCCATGTGAGTTTGACTATTTAAAACATCAGTAAAATATACCATCATTTGTGGATTTACACCATATTGTGTTTTATTTTTCTGTTTCCTTTATATGTATTAATGCACATCTGAGTTCTAACCCTATTTTAGGGTAAGTGTATATCTTTAGTGCTCCACTCACTTGATTAGTATAGTCTGGACGTTACACGCACAGATGCACCCACTGACACAAATATGCACACAAACCCACATGCACATTGACACATGCACACACCATGACATATATACACACACTTTTCATATACATACTCATATACAATCTGACGTACAAAGGCACATATATATTATCATTTTTAAATTTACAGACACCTTACTTGCTTACCTTTTGTGACCAGGAGGGTTGATTGATTGTGGTCCTTGTGATGCTGGCTAAGGCTGATGGGAAGCAGTTCCCCATGCTGCCTATCTATGCCACCGACACCTCCTGCACAACCCTCTCTATAGTTGGGAGGGACAGGCTGTCATGTCCTCCCAGTCGGCTAATGCGCACATTTAAAGGACTGTGGTGCTTGACCGGGTTCCTGTGCAGCAATAATGCCAATCGGGTGGCCCTAAGTGCATGGGACACCCGATGGGCCCCCAAAGCGTGCAAGCCCTAGTGCAGCTGGAGCAGTAGTTTTGTCACTAGATGTATATCAAGATCTTGATAAAGACCCAGGAGGTTCGAAACGTTGATAGTTTAAAATCAATTTTTTTGAAAATCCCAAAGAGTGCTCCTATTTTGTCTTTTATTTATTTATGTATATATATATATATATATATATATATATATATATATACACTGCTCAAAAAGGGAACACTTAAACAACACAATGTAACTCCAAGTCAATCACACTTCTGTGAAATCAAACTGTCCACTTAGGAAGTGTTGTGGATCAGAATGTTGATCTTTGTTATATTCAGAGGAAGCCCAAATTGTTGTTACAAGTGCACTTGGAGAAGCGAGAATTAGACACCAGACACCTGTTGGTATTCAAAATAAGCCTCTGACGTTTTATTCATCAGCTGGGTTTTATACATTAAAAAGTAAGTGCTTACGTGCAAATACTCTTAGAACAGTAATAGGAAGAGAGTACAGATAAGACATAGGGATGAGTGTCATGTACACATAACAAATAAGTTTCAAGGTAAGAGAGAACAAAATGATTAGAGCAGAGACATCTTAGGTGGGGGCTCTCTGCTCCCGGAACTTAGACATATATGGTCTTAAGTGTTGATTAAGCATCAAGCATTTCCTGAGTCCAAGTTAGCCAATTTTAATATAGAATATCATTATATGACACCTATAAGCTTGAGTCTTGGAATCAAGATAAATTCTATCACAATCCCCTCTTTTGATCCAAGGGTCACCCAAATGTCCAAGGTATATCCAGGCCTGCTAGCCAAAGCCTGTGGGACTTTCATTTATTGCTTCACCACGGTTCCCTTGGACTGAGAGACCACCAGAATCAGCAGAGGAGAGTTCCTTCATTTGTTAGGCGAGTTAAAATCATAAAAACTTTTCCAAAGTCGGAGCTGGAATGTAAGTTAAGGTACGACCAACAGTAGGTTTGCTTTTACATAGAGAGGTTAGTAGACAGGAAAAAAATCTAAAGGTTAGAAAAATAGCCATAATGACAAATACAGCTAATAGCAAAAAGTACAAAATTTTCTTAATTAGTAAAGTTAACCATGTTCCTAGCCCAAATGTCCAACCCCAATCCCCAAAGAAGCCAGTATCTTGTTTGATATCCTGTACTAAGTCATGTAAATCTTTTATATGTTTATGGATCATAGTGCCATGGTCAGATAGGTACCTTCAACACATACCTTCAACAGCTTCACAGCCTAAGTCATGTTTCATTAGTATGTAGTCAATGGCTGCTCTATTCTCAAGGATTGCCTTTTTATTTGCCTGGCTGTCCATAAGTAGCTCTTCTAGGGCCTGTGAAGTGGCATTTAAAGCTTTTGCAAGGGAACAGGCTACAGCATTTACTACTCGGGTATTATACAATGCTAAACCTGGGACTCCTACCAAGGTGTACGCTAGGGCAGAGTATTCGGCTTTAGATAAGAGAGTGATTTCTGGGTTACAATCTGCATTAAGGGTGTTTTTAACATCTCTCCTGTCTCTCAGCAGTTTGTGTAGCTGGGTGGTTTTAGTGATCAGGTCAGATTTGGAAAACATGGTCATGGTTAGGCGAGAGATTGCACAGGGACCTCATGTAATGTTACCTGGGGCATAAGCATAAGTAATATTTCCACAGGAGAAAGTCCATCCTTTAGGAAGATAAACATTGTAGTGGTAACTCATAACTTGGTGAGTTTTGGTACAATTCATAGTGGTGCTTAGGGCTCTACAATTCGTGGTATTTTTCCACCATGTGGGGCAAAACAGGGATTCAGTATTAGGGTCTCTTGAACAATTACATGAAAAAGACCAACATAGTTCAGCGCCTGTCACATTAATTGTCTTCAGGGCTAGAGGAGGCTTGCCTATGAGTGGGTTGAAGGCATAAGAATATAGTTGTAGAGATTTATGGGGTCTATGGGTATGTAGGTACTTCCTTAACAGTGAGATGGGGGTAGGGACAGCTATAAAGATCAGAAGATTCTATGGCGTTTTCAGTACTGAGGAGAGGGTTTGAGGCAAAAGGAGGTTAAATTAAAAGCCTTTGGTATCTGCAACCATATATTTTCCTGTCATGCATTATTATTTTCTGATCTCAAGTCAGAGTAGCATATCCGAACACATTATAAAATGGTAAAGGATAAGAACAGCTTCATGTTGGTGGATCAGTCGGAGTGACTTGTTTACAGTGACTGGCATGTATCCACGTGGCTTTTCCTTCTAGTTTCACTGAGGTAGCCGTAGTCAAGAGCACTTGGAATGGACCGTCAAAGCGTGGTTCAAGTCCTGTCCTCACATGCCTCTTTATCACCACCCAATCACCAGGTTGCAGTTTGTGAGTTGCAGAATCAGAGTCTGGGTCTGGAATAGAATCAAAGACTTGTTTATGCACCCTGCCTAATCTTTGGTGTAGGGCCTGAACATAGGCAGTCATACTACCATGCTGCATCTTGAGGGTTTGGGGAAAATAGAGGCCTGTCTTTGGGGCACATCCAAACAGGATCTCAAAAGGGGATAAGCCATGTCTGGAATTGGGGGTGAATCTCATAGAAAAGAGTGCTAGGGGAAGGCATTCAGTCCAGGGCTTCCCTGTGTCTTGCATGGCTTTTGCAATCTTGTTCTTTAAGGTGCCATTTGCCCTTTCTACATACCCACTACTCTGGGGGTAATAGGTGGTGTGGAAGGCCTGACTGATCCCTAAGGCTTTCATAATTTCTTGCATTATTTCCCCAGTGAAATGGCTACCTCTGTCACTTTCAATCACTTCAGGTACTCCATATCTACATACCAGTTCCTTCAGAAGCTTACTTGCTGTGACCTTCGTTGTGGCTTTCGACACTGGGTAGGCCTCAGGCCAACCTGAAAAGAGATCAATGCACACCAACACATATTCATACACTCCTACCTTAGGTAGTTGAATATAGTCTATCTGCAGTCTTTGAAACGGGTAAAGTGGCCTTGGTGTGTGCTTACTTGGTGTTTTCACAGCTTGTCCTGGATTGTTTCTAGCACAAATCATGCAAGATTGGGTGTGTTTAGCTGCTACAACAGTAAATCTGGGTGCTACCCAATGGGTGTTTACTATGCTGTTCATGTGCATCTTGGATAGATGTGTAGGTCCATGGGCAATCTGGGCCATCATGGGGTACAACACTCGTGGTAAACACAGTCTTTTACCTTTCCTCCACATTCTGTCATCATCAGGTTCTGCATCTTGTTTCCTCCAGAGGTCATGTTCTTCCTTGCTTGCCTGTCTTTGTAAGCTCAACAGTATATTGTAGTCAACGGCGTCATCTGTAAGAACAACTTGTAGGAAGGTATTACCTGTAGAGGGATGAACTTGGATTGCTGCTTGCTTGGCAGCTTCGTCTGCTTTGTGGTTTCCTCTTGAGATTTCATCTGTGATCTTCACGTGAGCTGCCACCTTGATGATGCCTACTTGAGTGGGTAGCAGGATAGCGTCCATAAGTGCACTCACGGCTTCAGAATTCTTGATTGGAGTTCCTGCTGAGGTGAGAAAATCACGAGCCCGCCATATAGGGCCAAAATCATGGGCTATACCAAAAGCATAGCGAGAGTCTGTATAAATATCAGCAGTCTTACCAGAAGCCATTTTACACGCTTCAGCGAGTGCCTTCAGCTCTGCCTCCTGTGCAGAGCAGTGAGGAGTGAGTGGTTCAGCTTTTATTACCTCATGTGCAGAGACTACAGCATATCCAGTGTGAAAATTACCCTTCTCATCAGCATATCTGGAACCATCTACAAAAAACTCAAAATCTGCATTAGATAATGTAGAATCAAATACATGCAAAAAACCTGCTGTTTCTTGTGCCATTAGTGCTGCACAATCATGGGGTACTTGGGCATCAGCTAACTCATCTGGTGAAAGTGAATTTACAAAAAGATCAGAAGTACAAGTACCATTCACACTATCCCCACTCCCCTCTTTTAAATCCAGGGGAAGCAATGTAGATGGATTTAACACCATACACCTTTTAAGAGTAACATTAGGTGGCATAAGCAAGGCACATTGCATTCTGAGATGTCTTGCAGTATGTATGTGTTTTGGTTGAACTTGTGAGAGTATGCTGTTGATATCATGCGGTGTGTATATGGTCACCGGATTATCTAAAACAATATCAGTGGCTTTGTCCAGGAGGGATGCCACTGCCCTAACACATGAGGGGGCACCCCTGGCAACAGGGTCCAATCTGGTGGAGTAGTATGCTATTGATCTTTGTTTACCACCATGATCCTGTGTAAGGACAGATGTAGCATAACCTGATTGCTCAGTACAGAACAGGTAAAAATTATTTCTGTAATCTGGGAGACCCAGTGCCGGAGCTGACGTTACCAGTATCTTAAGTGTATAGAAGGCATTTTCTGCCGCATGGGTTAATTTAAATGGTTTGTTTTCGTTGGCAAGACAATCATACAGTGATAGCTACGGAACGCAGCCAAGGACGGCTGTAAAAAAATCAAACCGGGGAAAGTACGAACCTGGGCTAAACTGCGGGGCGGTCTAATATTTTGAACTGCCGTCTTTCTACTTTCCGTGAGATGTTTTATGCCCTGGGAAATGCAATGTCCTCGGAAAATAACTTTCTCTACACATGCTTGCAGTTTCGTTTTTGTCGCTTTACAGCCTGCTTTTTCTAGGAATTTTAGCAAGGAAAGAGTGTTTACAATACAAGATTCCATATTATCGCAACATAGGAGTAGGTCATCGATATACTGCAATAAAATTACGTTATTTGGCCTTTGCCACTCTTCAAGAATCTGGGCCATAGCCATGCTGTACATAGTGGGTGAGTTTTGTGCGCCCTGTGGCAATACTGTCCAAGTGTACTGCTTGTGTTTATGTGTAAATGCAAATAAAAACTGACTGTCGGGAGCCAGGGGGACACTGAAAAAATGCATTTGCCAAGTTAATAACAGTAAATACCTTAGAGGAAGGTGGTATTTGTGCCAACAAGGTGTGTGGGTTGGGAACATTAGGGGCAATGAGTTCAATTACAGCATTAATTGCCCTCAAATCATGTACCATACGGTATACCACAGGTTTCCCTTTCTCTTGCTTTTTCTTAATTGGGTACAATGGTGTGTTACAAGGGGAGGTGGTCTGGACCACTACCCCTGCCTGCATAAAACTCTTGCACAGATTGCGAAATAGCATCTTCCTGTGCTGGGCTTAGGGGGTATTGTTTTTGATAGGGAGGTTTGGCTCCGGGCAGGAGATTCACTTTGACTGGGGGCACAGAGAGTCTGCCTGCATCTGTCTTCCCTGTAGCCCATAAGGAATCAGGGACTGAGGACAAGTCAATGGTAGGTTCTGGCACAAGGCTGGGCATAGTGAGAGTTGCCAGAACATTTGAAAGAGATATCATTTGTTTGTCCTCTAAAGGCACAGACAATGTTACTTTTCCAGTGGGGCTATACTGGATATTTGCACTAAGAGCAGACAGTATATCACTGCCTAGTAGATTAGCAGGGGCATGAGGGCTGACAAGTAGCCTTGTTACAAGGGCAGTAGAGTCGTGTAGCTTCAATTTCAGCTTGTGGGTAAGGGGAATGTCATTTTCGATACCATCTACCCCTACACATGATAATACATCATTAGATTTCTCATACGGGAATACATATTTTTCCTGTAACATTGATTTAGCAGCGCCAGTGTCCAACAGGAAAGGGACTGTTTGGTCCCCAGGCAGTGTAACATTGATAATGGGTGAGGGTCCTGCAGATTCAGGAATATTGATGATATGTAGGGACACTGGTTTGCCAATTTCCTATTGGGGGGGGGGTGGGGAGGTGGTGGTGGTGGTTGGCTGTCATGGGAGTTATTATTAGAATCTTGGGGTTTTCTATTTTTAGGAGGACACTTGCAGTTACGTTTAATGTGTCCTTTCCTGCCACAATTCCAGCAGTCTACCTGCCTTCTGCCCCCACCAGCTCTAGGGACAGTTACAGCCATTAGTGGTGTGCTCCTCTTTCTAGTATTTAGATTAGCTTCCACTCCCCTAGCCACCTTCACCAGATCACCATAGGTTAAACTTCTCCACTCAGGTCTAGCATTTTGGAGACCAGTCCTTATGGGTATGTGGATACCATCCATGAAGCAGTTAATAAGCAGTCTGGTGGAAGTGGTTACAACATCAGTGTAACCCAATGCCTCCCAAGCCATTTGTAGTCTGGTGAAGAATGTTTCTACAGATTCATCTTTCCCTTGTAGTATATCTCCTAATTTATGGGCTAGTTCTTCTGTCTTTACCTTAGCCCATTCTCTCATTGCAGTGACATAGCATGCTCCAGATGCAGACTTGGTTCTAAACCATTCATCTGTTTGCATGTTGCTTTTTCTGAGGTTATCTTCATGGGCATCTGTATATTTAGCAATTATTCTAGCCCAAATGGGACCAGCTTTTATTGCCACAATCTGTTTTAAATCCATCCAAGTACACTGGTAAGTAGTGTGAATTGTGGATAGAGACTGGACTAGAGCTAAGGGGGTCTTTTCAACATCTGCCAGCTGCTGTATTATTGCCAGTTGTTCACTGGGTGTCCAGGGCTTATATTCTTCCCAGTATTGGATACCTGAGCTCGGCTGTCTGTGCTCATGGTATACACTCTCAACTTTGGGTATCATGGGAGTAGAAAATTGTGGAGCTAATGGCCCCACTGGGGTATCTGTGGGGGCAACTAGGGGTTCCTTTAAGTCTGGACTACCTTCCTGCTCTAATGAACCCATAGGTCTTACTGGGACACCATATGAATTCCCACTGCGTAATATTACTAGAAAGAGAGGTTTTGATCTCCGTAAAAGGGAAATCGCCTTGTCTTTTGGGACCAAAGGAGTCCCTGCAGTATCCTGGTAAAGGGGCGGCTTT